AACTTCAAAGCTGGCTTTCAAGGTCAAGAAACCAGGCGGCACTTGCTTTAATCAGAGAGCTGCAGTCAAGAGGAAGGGGCTACCTGGCCACAAGGAAGCGATCATGCTTGCTAATCAGCCCGTCAGGCTGGCGGCCGTGTCCTTCGACAAAAGAAAATGACGGCCCGACTTGAGACTTTCAACCAGCAACCTGGGATGTTTTTTTCCCACTTTGGAGGAGCCGCTGCTAGTTCATCTGGCTCATGGGGTGACAGGGTGATTATAATTTATTTTGACACTCAGGAGAATATTGTGACGGGGGAAAAGTCAGAAATGTACTGTGTGGAAGCCCCAGTGCGTGTCTATCGTATAATTATCCTTTCTCTGCTGTCTGGAAACACAAGACAAGCCCGGATGGGAAGCTGCCTGGGCTGGTGAAAACAAAGTGGTGGACATGGACTCCAGTGTATGGGACTGCATAAGAGGAGAGGTACAGGCATCACCCACAGGCAATTAGAGCAGGAACACTGATGCCCACCTGCTGCATGTCAGCCTTGGGCATAGCATTGATGTGTGACCCAGGAATCCCATTCCAGCAAGGACCTCCAGGGCACCTTGAACAGGAAGCTCAGAGGCAGTTGTGAAAAATCTCCAGGCACATTGCTTAGTTGTTCGTTCTTCTTTGAAGACAAGGTACTGGTGGCTCTGGTCAGTGTGGAATGAGGCAACACTACAGTGAATGGCAAGAAGGCAATTCAACTCAAAGAACACTGATGAAGACGTACTGCGTGTCAGATATTGGGCTTACAAAATGAATAAAAGAGTCTATACTGTCCAAGAGGTCACATCTAGGACCATGTGGCCCATCACGAAAAGAGACAGTTCTGAGATAAAGAGGTTCCATCAACAGCAAAGTTTGGCGAGTGCGGCAGAGTCCACCCACTCTTGGAGATTGACGCTGTAAGCATGCTTAATAAAGGCATTGAAAAGTCCTCCAGGGAAACACTGCTTCGCAGTGTTTGTCACATATTTCCCAAATCTGTTTCTCCACTGAATCTATGAAGCCAGAGTTCCTTGGAACCAATTTAGGGAATGCTGGTTTAGGGAGTTTATCCAGCCTTTGCAGAACACAGAAGTAAAGAAACCATGATCCAGCCTCCAGAGGAGGTACTGGCGAGGGCCAAGCATTGCACTCAGCAGATAGGCTGAGGTTCAGAGTAAAGCCTGGTCTTAGAGGCAGACTAGAGGACCACGTGGAGACATGGTGTAGACTACAGAATGTGTGTATGCACATGTGTGTGTGTTGAGGGTTGTTGTGATAGCCACAATAGAAACCCAGATCTGCACGCTAAGACCATGGGCAGGGTGGAAAGGAGAAAGGACCTTGTGAGAGAGAGGGCTGTCCTGTCACCCTTTGTCCCACATTCTTTGCACAACTTAATCCTAGTCTCCTGTATTTTAGGCCTTTGCCTGCACTGCCATAATTGGCTCAGAAGCCAGGACAGAGTTTAATACTACAGGGCATCTTCTCTGAACACTAATGTACTAGGCACTGTACAAATAGGTCATCCCATGAAATCCTCACAACAAGCAAAGAGGAATGTTGAAAACGGGGAAACTGAGGCTCAGAGAGAGATGAATACTGTGGCCATGGGCACACAGTTTCTAAAGACTTGAACCCAGATATGTCACCTCAGAGTCATTGTTTTCAATGCTGCAAACCTATTTACCTGACTTATGCACAATGCGGTTCCCACAGAGGCGCGATTTCCTCCAAAGTAAATCCAGTGATGCATTCGTGTCTGGGTTGAGACAAACACAGGGCTGAAGACCGAGTTCAGTTGTTCTGTAAAAATCCATTAAAATAAAAAGCATTTTCTGTGTATGCTTGGGAATATTCCAGGATAATTTTGTGTTATATCGTGTTGTCAAATCTGTAAACAAAAAGATATCCTCAGTGAATTTCCTGGTGAAAACTAAAGACTCATCAACCTGAGAGGTCTTTTTTTTTTCTTCCTCTAATCATTTTAATGCATATGTCAGTTGCAAGCCATGATGACTTCATTTTTATACCCTCTATGACTTCAATTAAAGGCAGATTAAATAGGGCACAAATCCAATAAATCAAGCATTCATTAGACATTAACTAGGTGCAAGGCCCTGGGTCAAGTGTACTTAACCAGAGACTGGTGTGGAATTGATGGGGTTAAGGCTTCCTTCTATGTCTTTGGCCACACGGAGCTCCCTACAGCAAATCCCTGGGTAAGATCGCAGGCCTGAAATCTGCCTCTGATTTCTGATGGGGTAATTCTCAAGTTTGCCTAGATTAGGAAGGTTAATATGTGTCACATTTCACATCAGTTTCCGTAGACTGCGAGTGATGGCCTAGACCACTGTTTGATATCACTGGTTCTGCAGCATGGTCAATGGGAGACAGAGCCATGTTGTTCCTGCTGTCTTCCAGAGGCAAGGGGGCTGCATAGGCCAAGAATGTGCTTTTTGGGCGCTGAACCTTGAAGCTTGCCCTGAGACCGTTTCTCAGGGCAAAGAAACAAGGTGGATAGGAAGTGCACCTTGAAGCATGTGGCTGGATGACACCATTGGTGAAATTAACCGAGACTGCTTAACAAATCAATCGAACATTGAGGGTGGCCAGATCTTCCTTGTTTATCTGATCAGTCAGGCCTAATGGCTGATAATCTAATTCCAGTGGTGAGGGAAAAAAAAACTGGCTTTGATGATTAGAGAAGCATTGTTATGGAAGGGAAAGCAATACTGGGTGGTGGTAAAACCAGATGAATTCTATCTTTCCTTTAGGCCTCAGTGTTTTCTTCGTATGAGTATTCCTGCTTCTTTGATGAACATACATCAGCTGCTTTGATCTCTTCCGGTTAGGTTACACTTTGAGTCCAGACAGATTCAAAATCAGAAGATGGGGCCTTACATTTGTAGAAGAATATATTGGGATAAAAAGTTATGGTTAGGCAGGATGCCCTAAGCCAAATATGATAGCAATACAATTGCTATTGTCAATCACCAAAACCGGCAGGCATGTTTTTATGGGTACTTATAATTATACTCTTTGTAAATTAAATTTTAATGGCCAAAGCAATACATTCACCTTGTAAAAATAAACAAAATGTTATAGATGGGGCCAACATCTTTCCCAATGACCATGCCAAATCCCAATCCCCTCTCTTCTTCTCCACATTTAACCACCATCACCAGAAAGAAGTTCTCCTTATAGACCTTGTTCTATGCACTTATAAACTGTACCTGTAGAACATGTGAATACAGTATTGTGGCATGTTCTGTAAGCAAGTTCACAAAAATGATATCACTATCATCCTGTGGGTAAGGAAAGTTAAAATGTGCCACATTTCACATCAGTTTCCGTATACTTCAAGTGGCTGCCTGGACCGCTGTTTGAGAATGCTGATTCCATGCCGAGGTCAATGGGAAACAGAACCATGTTGTTCCTGCTGCTCTCCAAAGGCAAGGGGCTGCATGAGCCAAGAATGTTCTGTTCGGGTGCTGAACCCCGAACATTCCTCAACCTGACATTTTTACTAAATAATATATCTTGAAGAGTTTCCCACATTAGAACCCATTAGATCTACAGTCTTTTTAAGCTGCTATAAAATATCTCAGTGTGAGAATACTATCATTTTAACAATTCCCCTGTTGATGAACAGCTAGGCTGTTTCCAAATTTTTCACCTAGACAGATAATTCGGCTAGAAATTTGTTTGCACAGATCCCTTGTGGACACATGCAGTTGTTTCTGAAAGTAGATGCCAAGGAGATGAACTCTTTGCTGTGTTACTCTTTGCTGCCCAATGGTCCTTGACAGCGGATATACCCGTTTCCCTTTATATCAGCTGCATGGGAGGAAGACCCATTATCTGACACCCTTATCAATCATTGACGTAACCTAACACTCCACATGCTTGTTATAGAATCAGGTCCTGTTTGTGTGACTCTTGCTTGTTTGTGAGTGAATCCAACCGTGGTACCCTCATTTTATATTGGAAGTCCCTAAAATAACACGGCTGCTACATAGTAGGTACACATTAGGTTTGCTCTCGTTCCCTTTAACTGGAATGTCTTTTTGCTTTGGGGTCCCTTCTACTTGTTCCTGCCTACTCTCTTCTTAGGTGTGTGCATCAGACACCTTTGTGCAAACCCCAGACTCACTGAGGTTGTTTGCCTCTGTATTCGTAACACCCTCTCTCAATGTGCCTGATAGGTCTTATGCTCGTTATATGTTTATCTCTTCTACTAATTTCTGAGCTCCTGCACACCCAGGAACATGCCTCTTTGTACTCTTGTTTCCCCAACACCCAGCCCAGGCGCATAGAGTTGGCATTCAATAAGAGCTTTAAAAATGAAGGCCATGGCTAGGTGTGATGGCTCATGCCTGTAATTCCAGCACTCTGGGAGGCCGAGGCAGGTGGATCACCTGAGGTCAGACAAACCGGGCCAAAACAGTAAAACCCCATTTCTACTAAAAATACAAAAAATAGCTGGACATGTTAGTGCACGACTGTAATCTCAGCTACTCAGGAGGATGAGGCAGGAGAATCACTTGAACCTGGAAGACGGAGGTTGCAGTGAGCCGAGATCACGCCACTGCACTCCAGCTTGGGTGACAGAGTGAGACTCTGTCTCAAAAAAAGAAAAAAAATAAATAAAGAATGTCCCTGTCGCAAAGCCACGTCCACAGTGGAATGAAAGCCCCTGAAAATAAACAGTGTATCAACAGAGGGAAAAATTAAGCGGTCAGTCTGCTGAACAGCAAAGATTTTTTTTTCTTTATTTCAGGTCTTTCCATGGGATGGAGCAGGGAAGGAAAGGAGGAAGAATAGCTGAAACATAGCAAAGCTTAGGAAATACTTTTCTTTTTTAATTTGGAGAGTGATTGGCACACTGCTGCATTGCTATTGCCCAGGTGGGGAAGGGGCTCTGACCGTTGCTGACCCATTGATAACCATTCCCTGCCTTTCTGTCCTGCCCCGATAGGGACCACGGTGATGCGGATGACAGCCTTTGATGCAGATGACCCAGCCACTGATAATGCCCTCCTGCGGTATAATATCCGTCAGCAGACGCCTGACAAGCCATCTCCCAACATGTTCTACATCGATCCTGAGAAAGGAGACATTGTCACTGTTGTGTCACCTGCACTGCTGGACCGAGAGGTGAGCTGAAAAGAATGCACTTTCTTTTTCACGAGAACAGAATGTGGCTTCATGCAAGGGGTGATGTGGGGCTCCAGTCAGTGGCTTTTTATACTGTAAAGGCAGAAATCAGGTGTTTACCGTGTTTTGGTGGGGAAAATCTATAACGGGAAATGGGATATTATGTGACCCCAGAAAACACATGCTCTAAAAGGCTAAAGCTCTTGGAACTGTTTGTATTCACTCAACCTGATACCTGTTTCCTCAACAGCCACTTATTCTCTAGGCCCTGGTGATTCCAGACTCTGCCTCTAGCCCCTGCTTTGATGCTAGAAGGGAGAGGGAAAGACGAGGGAAGGAGGGGAAGGGAAGGGAGGTGGCTTCGTCCAAGATCACAGAGGCTGTCCCTGCTGCAGAGTCAAATGGCCATGACTCCCTTCTCCAACCCTTTGCTGCAGGCGTCCTGCATTCCTCCTTGAACCCTTCTCTTCCTCCATCTCTGTTCTCGTCCCTTTTGGCTCTCTCTGTGAAATCTCCCCCGTCTCCTGGGTCACATGTCACAAACCGGTGACTCCTGGACCACTCAGTCCACATGCCTGCTCTTTGGTTTTGCCCACAGTGTTTTACAGTTTTCAGAATTAGTTGCCATATCAAAATATTTAGATTTCATATTTCTGTTTTAAAAATGCCAATTTCCAGTTTTCTTAGAAATCAGAAATCCTGGAGACATCAGGTCCACTTTCCACACATGCACCATCGGTGACGTGAGGTGTCATGCTCCAGTGGATCCAGGGTCAGCTGCCCCCTTCAGATGGGACATGTGCTCCCACCTCGATTACGTTTCCACCCGCATGGGCCCCTCTGGCCCTGCCCTTTCCTGAGTTTGAGGTCCACCCTGTAGCTTACCATAAGCTACCTTAAGTAGAAGACCCTTGCGGCCCTCCAAACTCAGCATCCTTAAACCAACTCGTGGATTCCTACCCATTCTTCGTTCTCCATCCACCCTAAGCCTACTCCTATTCTGCAGTTCCCTGCTCCTGACATCATCCCACAGGCATAGCACCTTGGAGTTGTCCTTGACCTTCTGCAAGAACCATCCACTCTGTGGTAACTGCTGGGCTTCCCTCAGGGGCTCTGTGCAATTCCCCCTCAGTGTTTTTGATGAAATAAATTCATGGTTCAGAATGTCGTTTCCTCTGCTTTCTCCTCTCTTACATGCTGTAGTTTCTCAAGAGATTCTGGATTACATCAACTCTCCCTAAGAAGCTGTCCTCATCCACCTGATTCTTCCACATTCTTGTTCTTCCTCCCATCTCTGACTACCCTTGCCTGTCGCCATCCTATAGAAATTGGCATGTGCTAATTAAGGTTGTCATTTGTCTCTGAAGAAGATTCTCTTTCTCTTGGTCTAGGCCTGAATTGTCCAGTACAGAAACCACTAGTCACATGGGGTTATTGCAATTTTAAAGTATATTAACTGAAATCAAGATGTAAAAATCAGGTTCTCGGTCACATGGGCCACACACTTCAAGTGCTCAGTGGTCATACGTGGTTGGTGGCTATTGTACTGGACAGTGCAGACCTAGAACACTTCCATCACCCCAGAAGGTTCTATGGGGCAACAATGGCCTAGACTGTACATTTCTTGACAATAGAGACTGTGATCATATGCATGTTTGTATTTCTACTGCCTAGCATGGTTGAAGCACTCCTGAAAATCCTAATTATATGTTTGTTGGCATAGAGGGAAAAAAAAGGAAAAAGAGTTGGAAATAAAACTAAGATCTTACATAAGCAGTGCGAAACAGAAGCTCGAAATAGGTAATTATTGAAAGGGAGAGAGAGAGAAAGAAATTTGCGTTGAAACTCTGATTGTCCTTTGGAAAATGTACTTGTTTCTAGGTAAAGAATAGGGAAGTAGAAAAAGTAATGAGTCCATTTCCTTCATTTCATCTCCCATTCTCTTTCTAACCTTCTTTTTTTTTTTTTTTCTGAGGCAGAGTCTTGCTCTGTTGCCCAGGCTGGAGTGCAGTGGCACAATCTTGGCACACTGCAACCTCTACTTCCCAGGTTCAAGCAATTCTCATGTCTCAGCCTGCTGAGTAGCTAGGACTACAGGTGCCTGCCACCATGCCTGGCTAATTTTTTATATTTTTGGTAGAGATGGGGTTTCACCATATTGGTCAGGCTGGTCCCGAACTCCTGACCTTAGGTGATCTGCCCACCTCGGCCTCCCAAAGTGCTGGGATTACAGGCATGGGCCACCGTGTCCAGCCAACCCTCCCTATTTTTGTGGCTGACATATTTTCTTCTTTTGGAGGCCAGAGATGACTTCCCAAGGCTCTCTGTTGCCCACTTGGCATGTGCGTGCACGTGCGTGTGCACACACACACACACACACGCCAGCTTTCCTATAATCCTTAATGCTCCCGAAGCTTCTCACAAGATCCTTTCACAGGAAAAAGATGAAGCATGGTGATTTCTCCATTTCAGCTTCTCTTTGTTCTGAGAGAAAATATTTTATAAGTCTCTATTTATAAATCAAAGTGATAATGTAGTAAATTATCCCATTTTAAAAGTTTATTTTAGGGGACAAATGTGTTTTCAGCTCATGATCTTTTCATTTGGGCTTTCATTAAGTTGTAATAAGTATGTAATTATGGGAGTTGAATTAAGCATTTCTAGTCACAAAACATAAACAGGCCCCCGAAAAAGATCAACGCAATTTAACCAAAATTGGAAAATCAATGAAAATGAATAAAGAGTATCACTCTTCTCTGAGGGTTTCCAGAGTTCAGTGCTGATCCAGGCAACATCAGTGTAATCCAAAGGAAAGAAATGTCCCTAAATTTAGGCGAGCCTTGGCTATTTCCTGTGCTGTGATAAGCTTCACTTCAGCATGTTTGCTGAGGAGGTGGAACGTGACTCTAAGTTCTTGTCTTTGAGGGTAAAAAGCTTGCACATCAGATGTCCAATGGAGTTTCCCAGAGTTTGCAATGTTTTCCTCTCACTGAGGCGCGGCACTTTTTGTAGGATTCACATGGATGCGATAGTTTCTTCAGCAGGTTTGTGGGATTTTATTATTATTATTATTTCTGAAGACTTTCCGAGAAGGCCTGTCTTAGGTGTGGTTTTAAAGTCTACTTCTCAGCCTGCTGGGCAGAAAGAACATTTAATACAGTGTTTTGCAGCATTCATTCAAGAAAGTATCCCATTTGGGGCCCTGTGGACTTTGAGATGATTCAAGTTGATTTTAAGGTGTGTTACCTTGTCTCCTGTCTTCACTCGCAGTATCTCAAATTGCATGTTGGAGCAATAAATATAGTGAGTGCAGGCATTTCTGTCACAAACTCCTTCAAGAGCAGGAGCTGCAGAAACCACACCCACCCACTTCCCCCAAGCACGCGCGCACACACACACACACACACACACACACACACACACAGCTCACCAGCACCTCTGGCTCTCACCTGAATGAGGGACAAAGCAAATGTGTGTTTCTTGGCTTGTTGGGAGTGGATGCTCTGGAAGCCCATTGGGTGATAGGAGCTCAGTTGACACAATAACCATTTTTCATCTTTATTTTCCATTTAGTCCATTTCCTTTCTTAAGTGCGTCTACCAAAGAGGACCACAGCAGCGAGTGTTTCACCAAGGGAGAGACAGATGATGCAAGATGAGTGGGGAGGTGGCAGGCAATGGGAATTTTCTTTGAATCTGCCTACCTAATCATTGTCCCTGCCTTTGACTTATTTACTTCGTAACAAGGCTTGTAACTGAGGATAGTCACGTGGGGCAGTGGAGAAATGACCCTTACTTTGTTGTCACTTTGGTTGTCATCCTTTCTTCTTCCCACCCTCCTCCCCTCCCAGGATGTCTCACCTGGAGCCAACTGAGGCAGGTGCCCTCATCTAATCTGCTCCTCTCCTGCTCCAAGGATTGGCAGCCACTGTTCTTGAAAGAGTCCACGGCCTCTCTGCCTGCACTCACCATAGTCAATGCTCAAACATGCAATTTGCAGGATGATATTTGGCTTTCCCATGACATATTCCCAGTGCCTAGCACATGAGAGATGCTCAAAGAAATATTTGTTGAGAGATGAAAGGCAGGAAAGATGTGAGGAAGAGAGCGTGATTCACACTGGCTTGAGGGCAGGTGAACTGGCCATTTCTTCCCCCTCCATGAGCTCAGCATTAATAGATAGCAAGTTTCCCCAAGACATGTGCATTTTCCATTACAAGCTCATCCATTTACTTGTTCGGAAACCCTACCAGAACATACACTTCCAGAAGAAAGGGACCTCGGATTTCTGTTCTGTCTCTCTATTCCCATTGCCAAATATAGCACCGGATAAATAATAGGCACTGGGTCAAGATCTGTCAGGTTAGCAGGGTGGATGAGCGGATGACCTGTGCTCCTTAAGTTTATATTATCTCAGAACATTCTGCAGGATCCACATTCTAGCATGGATATATAAACAGAGGAAGTTACTTTATTATAGTTGAAAGCTTAGTCTTACCCTTGTGCAATCATCCAGTAATCTAATTTATTCACTTTATGTTTACCTTCTGCAGGAACTGCTTTAAAAAATAGTGCCTTGGTCCACTGGGTGAATAGGATGGACGGGAGGATCTGTGCCTCTTGCTTAAGTGTTTGGGGAAATGTTTGCAGAAAATAAGAGCCATATATTCTAGTAAATGAAATTGGGTTCATTTGGGGCACTGTTTTATTATTTTCTATAGCCATACTTAGCTCCTTGTTTCTGGCATCTCTGTCTATGTTTTTAAACTATGTCTGGCTGCACTACAAAATAAAATCAGATAAAGGTCTCTAACGTTTGATAAATGGTTTATTTAGTTGATCATCTTGGCTGCTAGACTGAAATTCATCTGCTGAAATCTGCCAACTTTCTGAACACAGCCACAATTTGCAACTACTCAGAGTAGCTAATGGTCAGGGTTTTTTTTTTTTTTCTTTCTTTTTTAATGGAAATAGTTTCCAAAATAGACTCTTAAAAAGCAA